ACGGTATCAGCTGTTGCTCTCCGTTCTTCTCCCAACATTTGGAAACTTTTCCAACCCCGCAATCGGTAGACGATATAGAGTCCGTTAGTCTTCCAAAACGTTTTAGACACCGTCCATAATCTAGTCTTCCGCCCCAGAAACACACCGGGAAACGCCGTGATGATCTGTGTCAGCAGAGGCAATAACACTAACGCCTTTGCTCTGCTTCACAAATATACTATCTTCGAATAACTTCCAAATCTTATCAAAAATCTTTACACCCTGTATTCATGTTGTTCTCCGAAAGCCAGACTCCACACATACCGCTTTGACCGCTATAGTCAAACTTACCGCGCCCTACGTCATGTGGAGTCGCGGGTATAAAGCCATCCTAAATCAACCTGATCTATCCTCTCTATCCTCCTATGTACTCCGCAGAATGTCAAAAAGAACAAGTGGATGTCTTAACGGACTCTGTTGTTCATTCAAACAAGCATACAGCGGGCGAATGGCCTTTCTCTTCCAAAACATCCAGCCCAGAATATTATGATCTGTGTCGGCAGTGCGTTCAACAAACTCACGCTCAAGATAATTGTCTTGCAACTTTCATCTTCAAATGGTTTTCAAAATTCATCGAAAACATGGCACACAAGTCCCATGCTGTTCTGCAAAAACCAGACTCCGCACATACCGCTCCGTTCTCCCAATCAACAACCATACTACCACATGCGCTTTGGACTTGCGGGTATAAAGTCTACCTTCTGGTCTTCTTCTTCCTCTCTTCATCCGCACACTTGTTGTGTGATTTACCAAAATGCACAAAGTCAAGCTACATGGTTCTGCCTTCTCCCAAAAAGAGGCTCGTCACTTTCGATGACCTTCGCTGCTGATCGGCGAACAACAAGACTCGGTCCGCTTCCCCAAAATATGATGTACTATCGTTATGGGCGTCGCTCAACTGAATCACAAAGACTCTCATGTTTTGAGAACGACGAAAGTCGAGCAACACTATGTCATGGCCGTTCTGCGCAATTCGGACCACTCTAGGAAACCTGAGAAATGCAAGATTGGTGGAGCTATATTCGCTGCCAGTCCCGAAAGAACGGTTCGTGAGCTGCATGTTTGCGTCGGTCGTAGACGTACAAAAATCCAAGGAGTGCGTTTATGATCTGCAGTCAATTCGTCCAAAACAACTACATGGAGCTGCAGCGTGGTTTGGAATGAACTCTTACTTCAAAAAGCTCAGGTTGACCGATTTATGGCTCTGAGAATGTATAAATACAACTATTGCTCACTGCCTTCTTCCTTCATTACAATCAGTACCTTTGTTGTATTTACAAAAAAACGCTGCTGGGCATCCACATGTTTCCTGGTTCCCTCAAAAATGTACAAGAGGAGTGGGCCATGTATCGAGCGAGTTGTATTTCCAAATACTCAAACAAAAAACTTGACGACCTCCGCGATGCATTTTTCCGCGCTCGTATTCGAAACACGACATCGACGACAACTTGTCTGCGTCGCGAGACCATCTGCGCTCTAGGGTGGGACTATAAATCGTGCTTCTTAAGGTCGTGGTCTCTTCTCTCAAAATTACTTCACTTCGCGACAATTCTCAAAAAAAGACAAGAGAGACCTTCATGTCTGAGATGTTCTGCGTGAACTGAAAAGACTATGGGCATCGCGCATGTCTCGTCTGCCGTCCTCTGGCGGGATGGCTTCATAGATTGTCAAAGTACAATCACTATTTTGCGATGCGATTGCCGGTCGAGAAGTTCCATGGCAGGTTGTCATTTGTAGCATTGAGCCGATATACCTATAAAACCAAAACCACACCCGTCCACGTCGATGCTTCCTCCAACCTATCTTATCTTCATTCTTCCGAAAAACCAAGAACTCTCCCCTCATGACTTGCTTCTCCCGGCAGTTACTTCTAAGTCTCATCCACGCACGTCATATCCTACGCACAGTCACAGTCTCACGTCCACCCACCTTACGAAACCGTCAAAAGCAATATCCACCACGTCTTCGAAACAGCGTCATAAATGCCACGTGCCAGACTGAGCTACGCCGCTTCTTCAAAAAAGCGAATTAAGCGTAGCGCAATACAGCCTGAGCCGAGTTCGAGATGCAACTCCGAAGCGGACGAAGTGGATGGGGTGGACCGTGATATCATACGTGGTGACACGTCACATGTTTTTGAGGACAGACTGCAGAGACAATACCACTGCATGTGCGGGGTGCCGCGATGGGTGAGGGTCCGCGGAAGGGGCATGTCGGTGCGTGGCGTGGAGGGTCAGATGATGTTTGCATGTATTGTGAGGTGTGTTGGTGGATGTCGGCGGATGTTGGTGGACTGCGCCTCTATTGCATCGTGAGCAGCGGTGCTAGCCGGTGGGCTTCGTGTTCTCGCCATCGCTACGAGCCATGAGCCATCGGATGCGCGTCGCCAAGCCTTCATCACGAAGCGGTCGCCTCTCAATACGTGTTGAGCTATCGCCGACAGTCTATGAGACGTCGCCCGGGTTTGATGTCGGCACTGCGGGGTCCGACATTGAGGCAAAGAAGACGACGCGACGAGACGAGACGAGACGACGAGAAGGAAGACTCATATCTGCGGCAAGATCAGTCGTGTAAAGATCAAATCCAATGACGTTCTTTTGGGGGCCGCCTGTCTTCTTGTGGCCCAGCGACAACAGCTACATGCTGAAACTGCGAAGCGCTGAGGGACAGCCAGCCCGGGCCGTCGCAACGCTCGCAACCGCCAGCCCTCAAACAGTAACAAGCAGATCTCCCGCCAGCCTTACACAAGCAAATTGCGCAAGCAAACCGCATACCGGGACATCTTCCAACGGCTGCGACAAGCTCCGATGCTGCCATTTTTGGGATTGGGGTGACACAAGCGCTTCTACGTGGGCGGCTCGCACGAACCCGGCCTCGATATAGCAGCCGCGGGGAATTGGGCGACTAGTACAGAGCCTCATCTGGCGCTTCGGCTAGGTAACCTTTTCGAGGCGCGTGGGATGCAGGGATACAGATTCGAGATTGATGAGGTTCAGCGCGAGGGGTTACATGACCACGTCGCGGATCGCTTAGACGGAGGACCTGACATAGGCAGGTGGTGGAGGAAGCGGTGCTATCCAGTAGTCGACGTGCAGCGACTTGTCTTAGCTGGCTGCGACCTTCTAGAACTGGCGACGACGGCGGTGGAAGCGTGATTGGCGAGGTGCGCGAGGCGGTGCAGCGGCTGTTGAGGTGGTCTCGAAACTGCGAGGCCGCGACATTGATTGGTACGCTTTAGTTGCATGAAGGTCCAGTCCGGGTGGCATGAGTGCCAGTCCCGGCCGGCGGGCATGCTCGAAAACCGCGTGTGCGCTGGAGCAGGGCAGCAGAAGACGAACATGGCGTTGGTCGTGCTCGCTGTCATCCGTCGTCGCCCAAAGAGGCTGGTAGCATCTGGGATGGAAACAGGTGTGTTGAAACAAAGATGACTTGTTTGCAGCGCGCGCTGCCCAATGGGCGCAGACTAGATCCCTGCGCATGACGGCGATCCATGGATCGTGGTGGAGAAATCCGAGCTCCGTCCACCGTCTGGCCGAGTGGAGTTGCGATAGACACGCTGTCATGCGACTGACAGATGGCAGGGAGTAGTCACCTTGAAAAACTATGCCGTGGTGCATGCCGTGGTATGCCGTCGAGGCAAGAGGGATGGTATACGATGGCACGGCAATGCAGCAGTGTAGTGGCGGCTGAGCCACACTCTACTCCATGCTGCGAGCCTCTCCCACGGCTACGGCCGAATTACACGCATGCAACGCGTGTTCGTGAGGCAAAATGCTTTTCTGCCCAAGAGGCCAACCAAGAGTAAGCTGGGCTCGAAGAGGCTGGGTTGTAGTGCATTCCGCCCACAAATTCGTCACCGTCTGCTGGCATTCCGCTCGGGAGATATATGGGAGCAGGTGTGCTGCTACTGCGTGGTCGCATGCTATTCATCAACCGTAGTGCTCTGGCTCCACCTAACCCGACTCACCGCCTCAATATCTGTCTCCCAACCCGGCAACGTGACCCAGCTACGAGGCCAGCAGACCCTCTAGTTCCGGCCAGCCTTCCACAAGCACCGTGATTGTCGCAGTACATAGCGGTCGCTGCTGCCGCAAACTCGAGGCCTGCAGTGCAGCAAACGTCGTGTCTGTACCAACCCAGTATTTCGCGCACTCCACTCCAACACCTCGACTCCAACCTGCATCCATCTAAAACATACTCGACCGCCTTCGAAACGCGATTCGCATCACGGCTCTATTGGCTGTCAATTTCGCACGCCTAGAGGGCCCTGCGCTGCGTGCAAACCATTGGCTTGGACTTGAAACAGCCTATTCCTGGGGTCCTGCACCTCACCACTCGCAATCTTCCAGGCACCCCAAACGGGCCAAACAGCCGCTGGCCTGAGTCCGGCGTGGCGCGCTACGTAGCTGTTTCCTGTGCGTGAGCTCCATCCATTGGATCCCACACGCAGCCGCCGAACCACCACCCCAAAGGATCCGACCCTCGACTTGGAAACGCATCGCTACCCGCTCAAGGGGCCTGCGAAATAAGTATCACGCCGCCTGCCGTCGATACTTCTTCCTCACAGTCAGTCACCGGCTTCACTTCTCCATCCTCCCTTCTTTCCTCCTGTCATCCTAGCGGTGCAGGTGCCATTCTCCACACTCCGGCAGTGATTCGCGCTCCACCACCGACTTTCCCTCCGACTTCCCAGACTGGCAGCGCCATCTCCCGTAAAATTTCAATCGCTTTGCACCTTCCGACTGGACTCGGACTCTTCACCTTCACCTTAATAATTCTTGCCTTGCCTATTCTGCCGACTCAACCTCGTCGTCAGCCACGCAGCCTCGGACTCCCGCTTACCATCGTTCAGACCGGAATTCCGACTACGCCTCACTACAGGGCATACACGGCAACCACATACAGTTCGACATTCACTTAAGACTTCACATCGCCTTCGGGACTACTACTCCATCAACATCATGCCTTACTCACCAAACCTCGTTGCCGAGAACGCGGCTGCCCTGGACCACTTCATCCAGCTCCCAGTGTCACATGACATGATCTCGTACCTTGCACAGAAGGCCACACAAGTCATTCGCTGCGAACCCTCCATCAACAAGAACCTCCCTCCCACACCACCAGCGTCGCCTCCTCAGCATGCTGCCTCCAACATCCGCGAGCCTGCCCTGCCATCAGTAGAGGAGTTCATCACATCCATCGTCGAGAGGTCACATGTCCAGACTGCCACCCTCATGACTTCGCTCGTCTACCTCAGCAGGTTACGGTCGCGCCTTCCTCCCGTTGCCAAGGGCATGCGATGCACCGTCCACCGCATCTTCCTCGCCTCCCTCATCCTTGCGGCTAAGAACCTCAACGACTCCTCGCCCAAGAACAAGCACTGGGCCAGGTACAGCGCTGTTCGCGGCTACGAGAACTTTGGCTTCTCCCTCACCGAGGTCAACCTCATGGAGAAGCAGCTTCTGTTCCTCCTTGACTGGGATCTCCGCATCAGCACCGAGGACCTCCACTACCACCTCGAGCCTTTCCTAGCGCCCATCCGTGTCTGGCAATCCCGCCAGGCGGAGAAGGCCAGGCTCGCAGAGAAGGAGAAGGAGCTTGCCCGCCAACAATACCAGCTGACCGCCGAGAATCTCTCGCGCTCAGTTCACCCATATGCGTCGCAATCCTCACTGTCTTCATACGCACCTCGTCAGAGGGGACCACGCTACATCTCATCCTCCCGCGCACCATCGCGCACCCCATCTCTATCACCACCCACCCGAAGCTCCTCGGTCTCCACCTCTTCCGAATCACCCGTCAGTCTTCACGACGAGCCTTCAGAAGCGATCCTCCAGCGCTACGACGCAGACCAGGGCGCCAACGTTGTATACATCAATGGCCCTCACTCGTACGTCCCCAAGCAGCAACACGCACTCCCGCTGTACGACACCCAGCCCTCGAAGAAGGTTAAGACCTCTGCGGGCGGCATCTTCAGCAGGATGTTCGGCCAGACCGGCGCCTACGCCGGCCGCCAGACTACCTATTAATGCTATTCGCTACCCCACCACCCTCGCTTCAACAGCCTAACGACTTTCCTTATTGTTCCCCAATGACATGATCTGATGAAAAGCTGCTCACTGGATGGACATCTCTTCGCCCATCTCGTCATCTCTTCTTGCATTGGCCGGCGTTATAACACAATCTCAGCATTTGCATAGCACAGCATTGTACCGGCGTTGGGATATCATCATCAAATCGGAATCTTGAATCGCATCTATATTGCGATTCTCGGCGCGACCGCCTCATAGTAGTTTAGCTCTTTTATAGCTTTCTCACAGCCCACAAATAACTATATACCGCGGGTCCTCTGACTTGTCAGATACTCGGCGAGTAATGGGAAAAAGGAAAAATGAAACATTTTGTTCAAAACACAATTCTTCCGTCGTATTGTTTCCGTCTCCGTCTCGGAAAGTGTATTCTTGGCAACGGGCGTTCTCCTCTGTCAGTGTGATTGAATGACTCTCCCTCCCGTGTATCCCTTCGCGGTTCGCAATTTCCGTAAATTGGGGTCTGACATGCGCGCTAGTGTGTGGGACGGGTATCTTATCTAGCTAGTGCGGAACGGATTTCACTTACAGATAGGTCCATGGTTTTGGTGGCGCACGCTCTTTCTTGACGCGATTCATCAATACGCGACTTTGTCCAATATTTCTCGCATCGGATGATGTTTCTCATGCCGCACCCACACAGGGCGATCTAATCACTGTGCGGTAATTCGCGCGATGCGGAAGATGAGCAAGCAGGACTGCATACAGGGTACAGCACAACACTCAGCCTGGCATAAAATCTTGTATCCACATACATACACAGCGTGAAATACACCGGTCACTACTCCTACACAACTCGACAGTACAGCCACAACGCCATGCGAGACCTCAGTAAAACGCATACTCGCCAACTCGCGATGGTATCCAGTCGTTCTGCCTTGTACGACACTTTCTGCGGGCCGCATGCGCAGCCACAATAGGCTGACCACCTTGCCGACCACACATGACAGTCCTAACGAACAACACACGTGTATACCTGCTACAGAGCCTCCGCAGCCAATATATCTCCACCTGAACAATGAGTTTGAGGACGGCTGAGTCGCGCCGGTCAAGCAGGAAGGCTGCCTCACAACCTTCATGCACCCTCGTCATGTTCGGATCCGAGTCCAAATAACCCCACCGGCATCAGCATCAGTAAACCTGGGAATACGCCATGCGCATGTCCCACATCTAACCCGTAACCCGTAACCAGGCCTGCAGAAATATTTTACCTCGGCATCTTCTCTCCTATCTAAGCTATCCCTTGTTGCTCTTGGTGTAAATCCACAAAATGCCAGATAGCGATGGATGGCACGGCAAAGATGGCAATATACGATATGCAGGAGTCAAAGAGCTTAGGGGGCCCGCGTAGATCAAACGGGTTCTGAGTGGCAGGAGATATGCGCTAAGCCTGGTTTGGGTATGGTGGGGGGTTTCAGGTGGGTGGCTTGGCGGTAGGGTGTTTGGGTGTGGTTAGTTGGTTCGTCCAACCGAGGAGGAAGGAGGGGAGTTGTGATGGTTGGTATTTGTTGGAATTTGGGATGGTGAGTTGGTGGGTTGGGTGGATGGCGTTGACGCGTTTTTGATGCGCATGCGATTGCGTGTTGGGAGCTGGAGGTGGAAACTGGAGATTGTAGGTGGTGATGTCATCGACGGTCGTGATCGGGTGGGTCTCAGTGTGCGACGCGGTCGCGTTATGTGTTATGCACGATACTCTTCATCCTTCTCGTTATACTCGAGCTCACGCGTTCCAGCTTATTGGTCAGTCAGCGACGTGCTCCAATTTTCTTGCGATGCGTCAGATGAACCGTTCACCGGGTTTCAATGGCGCAACACCTTGCGGCTCCTAGACCTAGGTACCTGGGACTCTCTAACTACGATACCCAGGTACCTTCGGCAACCAACGTCCGATGCTGAGTTAGCAGAAGTCCTATACCGTTCAGTGCATACGAAACTGCACAATGCTTTAAGCCCTATATTCATGCTGCGCTCCTCCTTCGAGTAACACGCATTACCTGCCAACCCGACAAGAGCAACACAAGAGCGCAACAAGGAGAACCCGTCGTCCTTCAGCTGAATATCTGCACAATAACGATATCTCGTCCTTGTATAAGATCATGCACATCATCAGAGTTATGTGAAGACTTACCGCATGCAGCCACGATCACAGTGGATCCTTCGTCTCAGGCATGAAATCTCGCCGCACCTGATACAACAACTGTCAACACTTGCCTGGTAACACGGGTAGCCTGGCATGCCAATGCCAAACACTCAACCACCGTCTAAGATGGCCAACATGAGGATTCCTTTCGCTTTTTTGCATCTCGTCGCTCGTTCTTCATCCACCTTGAAGGTTTTTCGTTCTTTTCGTAACCGCTGGCCGGTCCCTTTTTCGCTCGTTTTTTTTTAATCTTTTGTAATGGTTCGGCAATTCACCTTCTTACCGGGGGATCGGAGGGATACGGGAGACGATGGCAGGACGGTGCGGTATAGCCATTGGGGACGGTATAATACTTTCTACGGACTTTCCTTTACGACGACGCTTTCGACGGTCCTTTTGCTGGCGCAGATCAACGAATGCAGGGTTACCGGTCAACTCTTCACTCTTGCGAATAGGTTCCCAGGTTCCGCTGCGTTGGTCGTGCAGCTTCTTGCCGCCTTCTTTGGACTTTTGCATCTCGCGGTTATCTGCAAGCTTATCAACTATGCGCTTCGATTGCGGCTCAACAAGGTCAGCGTTTCCCTGGATGTGTTGCGTACTTGGGTGGATATGAGCATCATGCGCGTGGATTGGGACTTGCCTCTACGGTTCTTCTTTCCTTCTGTCTTTGTCGTTCTTCTCAGTCTTGTGCCGGCGGCGCTCTGGGCTGGTTCGATGACACCGTCGGTATCGCGGACGGTGGATAGCGGCATGCTTTTGATCCCAAGCTACGAAGACGTGTCGATGATCAAAGAGTACCCGATGATGATTGGCAGTTCTGGACCGTCGCTGCGCACGCAAAAGGGCTTCTTCACGTATTCGGTTGGCCAGCAACAGAGCAGTCAGCTTCTGGCATCAGCGGCTCAGGCGTCTTCTTTGGGTGGAGGGCCCCATATCCATCGCAAACTCGACAACACGCAATTCAGCTACCGAGGCCGTTCATATGGGGTCGGAGCATCTATCGGACTCATGGACCAAGGGATCAGGTCGAACAGCCAGGTTGCGGGATACATCTACCAAGAGGAGGGCTATCTGGCAAATGTCACCTGCACATACAACGCAACTTCCAACTTCACTCTTTCCGGACCAGTCAACGAATGGATCTATGCGGCTTCCGGTAACCTACCCGACAGCGAAGAAGGCCCGGAATACTCAAACTACATCGGCCACGACGGAAAAGCCATCGTAGCGATGGGCGTAGCGTACAGCGACCGCTCACCCCGCCGCTACCTCGCCATTGCTGCTGGTCCAGCCTATTCCTTCCTCAACACCACGCAATGCGAATTCGACTTTACACCCACACTTTTCAACGTCACCGTCGACGTCGGTAATCTCAACATCACCGTCAAGCCCGTGCGCACCATGCCCGATTTCAATCCTCAGCGAAACGTTACGCGCACGGTTGTGCGGCAGTTCGAGCTCATGTCTAACGATATGACGAACTTGTATGTTTCGCTTCTAGGTGAAGCGTTCAACTCCAGTATCGCGGCATACAAGATGTCAGAGACGTTCAATAACCGGACATTTACTGAAGAGGAAGCAACACTGGCGGGTCTCACGAATAGCATGGTTGCTATGGCTGATGACATGTTGGTTGCGTATGCCTCTGCGCAACTAATGGTCGGGCGCATGTTCACTCAGCAACCAGCCAAGGTCTACGTCTATGCGCTGCAGTTTGGTCAACCGAGTTACATCTACGCTATCTTCACGCTCAACCTCGTCATCATTCTTGCGGTTGTGTTTGAGGCAGTGCGCACAGCAGCGTGGTCTGCGCTTGGCCGCTTCAACTATCTTGATCCACGTGATCTCATCGTCGCTGCCTCGAGAGGCGGAGGCGACATTGCAGCTGCAGCCGACGACATCATGGAGCGAAGAGAAGGGAGGAGGATGAAGCACATTTGGCTATTGAGCGACCCCGACGGCGGCAACGGGTCCCTCATCGTCAATTTACGAGGTGACCAAGACGGCCATGTCAAGATTGAAGTGGGCGCTGGGCAATGCGCGAGAGACGCAGAGAGCGCATACCCACCGGACGAGAAGAGCATGTATGTGGAACATGGCGCTGAGACAGAGCGGGGGCCGTTGACACCCAAGACACCTATGAAGATGAAGGTTGGCATTTTTGGGTCAAAGCAATAGAAGACATGGGCTTAAGACATTGCTCAGTGTTCGGCGCTTGGTGCGCTTTGTGGAAGTGGGTGAAAGAGGATGCGTAGATCATTTAATGAGACTTTGTTGAGACTTTGTGGTTTGGTCAGATGATGAGCATGTGTGGACTGGAGTGAGTGACGCTGGAACGTGACGGAGGAGGGTATGCGAGGAAGTTTGGGCCATGGGAGGGGGATATAAGAGGATGAGAGAGTTCATGATGGAGTGGACATCAACACAGCATCACATCTTCACTTCCATCTCACAACACCATCACAACAGCATTCCAACCCTTCTTATCATCAAACCACCAACAACCACCCCGATCATCTCACCAAATATGTCCTACCCACGCGTCACACTCAGCGCTACCCCGTCCCACTCCCGCGGCGACCTCCTCGCAAAACTCAACTCGTTCTTCCGGGATGCCCAAACGGACTCCCCACCCTCCCCCCATAAATTCGACGCCTGGTTCTTCGCTCTCACCATCGATGACCGCGCAACCGTCCACGATATCCTCCAACCGCTGCACACCAACTGGCCCAGTCAAGTTGAATACCCCAATGTTATTGCACTGGTGCACTGGTTGCGTGAGCACCGTGCTGAGTACCTTGCAGAGCGAGCTGCTGCCGTTGCGAATGGTGTCGTGACGCCGGAGGTAGAGGGAGGAGACGAGAACTTGACAGTGGAGGGGGTCTTGAAGATGATTGAACAAGTCTTGGCAGCTCATCTGGAACAAGCTGAGGCTGCGCCTACCGTACCTGAGCCTGAGCCACCCGTTCCTGAACCTACCTGCCCTGGAGGTATCCACGAGGAGCCGCAGCCGCAGCCCATTCATCCTCGCCAGGAGCCTGTTCATGGAATGGATGTCTTGGCCGTTCTCGTCATGGTCTTGGCTCCGGCATGCTTGGTACGTCTCCTGATGATCTTGTTTCTGTTCACGGTTCTCCGACAGGCCTCTAATGGTACGCGACGTCTCTAGATCGGCGTGGCATTGCATCGGCGATGGTTCCGGTAGTTTCTGGACTACGGAGTTTGGGATAGAACTGCTTTGAGGATTTGATTGGAGTTTGCGTGGTTCTTCTTTCTTTACAAACACTCGCTGGTAGACTGACTGACTGGGTTTCGTTGTTGTCTTTCATTCGGGGTGTTCTCGTGGTTTCTTGTGGTTTTTTGTCTTTGCAAACATGTCTCGGTAGGCGTTGTTGGAGTTGGGAGTGTTCTTTCTTGTAGTTGCAAACGTAGACAATAGACAAACCGGAGAGATTCGGGATATAAACGAAGTACTTCCTGTGTATGAGTGAGTCTTCATCCGATAACATCATCCATCACACAAGAACAACTTACAACAACCACCAATCTCAACAACACAATACCAATAATGTCCAACAACAACAACAACACTACTCCCGCCAGCGACGCCACCATGGCCGAGCGTCTAGCCTACTACGAGAAGTCCTGCAAGCGAGCAGAGAAGCGCATCGAGAAGAAGAAAGCCCTCGTCGCCAAGTTGGAGGAGGAATATGCGGCTCTTCAAGAGCAGCTCACCGAAGCCAGGCTTGCACCGAATCTAGACATGGAGCGCATCGAAGTCCTGGATGCGGCGATCAAAGCGAACAATGCAGAGCTTGAGACTGAGGCTGGGCGACACGAGCAACTGTGCGAGGACTACCAGAAGCTGATCGACATGAAGAATGGGTCGGAGGCGGAGTTTATCGCTCGTGTCACGGAGTATATGGATAAGGAGCCGGAGCGTGACGGTGGCGATGGCGAGGACGGAGAAGGACAAGGAGAGGGCGAGGCTGCCTAGGTCAAGCCAAGAGGCACGAGGGATGGAGATGGGGTCTGGTGGTTAGTGTAGTAGCCTAGAGTAGCTCATTCTCGCTCTCTCACCAAGGTCAGAGGCCGACTTTGTGCTTGCGCAAGGCTTTTCCTTAGAAAATACATGTCTTGACATGAAACACGTAGGGTCATTCGCCAACTGCAAGTGATACAACCTCATCATTCGACAGTGAACGTGAGCATGTTGAAAGCCAAGTGATCGCATTGAGAAGAATAATCGGCGTTGAAAGGCGAATAAAAGTACAAACGGTAAGCTATGCGAAGGCTAAGGGCATGAGGTGAAAGCAAAAAGACAACCAACGATAACAACGATAATAACGCTCAAGCTCCCCAGTCCACCATGTCGCTAGTCGTGTCCGAGCTTCAGGTACTCTCATCGAGGACCTGGTCGCAGACAGCGCGGTGCTTGATGAAGAAGACGTCCAAGCCCAACTTAGCCTTGGTACCTGAAGTGAGAAGAGCCTGGATGTTGTCGCACGATTCTGGGTGGTGCGCACAAAGATCAGCAATGCAGATTGCCAGCTGACCTGTAGCCATCTTGAAAACAGAGTAAGCATCGCAGGTATGAGGCCGGACCTCGGAGACCCATTCTTCGTAACTCTCGTTGTTGAGCGTTAGAATGGCGTGAAGCAGGTCGGCTGCGTCATTGCAGCTGACTCCAGGGATCTCTGGGTCGCACAAAGAATACAGGCAGATCCTTTGATCCTCAGGAGTGAAGGGGAAAGATTCGAAATCCGTCGGGAGAGGTTCGATGCCAGCGTGCATCGGCGCCACGATAGCGCCTGCGCAGTAGCAAGTGCCGTTGAAGTGTCCGCAGAATTCGCAGTCCGGTTCGCATTCGCATGAGGAAATCACCGGGGCATCGATGGCTGGATAGACTTTCTTCATCTCCTCCATAACCTCCTTGCATGGGAAGCCCATCAGGAGTGAAGCATTCACGGGGTCGCAGACTGTGGGGTATATGGCACGAGCATATGACTCTAGTGCCGATTCATCGCAATCGTCGACTCCAGTGTGATACCTCCGGACGATGTTGCACAGTGTTGGGTTTACTGAGTGATGTGGGGTTGGTACGCGTGTTGGCTCAACATCGTCTGGAGTGTTGCGAGCTGCAGGGACGCGACGTCTTGCCGGGTAATAGACCCTGGCTAGGCATGGACTGTCTATAGGTTTTCGTGGCTTCTTGCAATCTGGGCAGTCTGTTTCGCGAGGTGCAGGCGCAGGTGGTGTGAAAAAGCCCCCGCGCGACGTGGTGGAGGTGGTGTCCGATGGTTCTGGCCTGTGCGGAATTGCTGGTCCTGATACGGTACTCGCTGGCCTGGGCGGAAGAATCACTGACGATGTGGACGGCGCCGGTATGAAACCGGGGGTCGGTTCATCGGAGAACTCAGCGGTCATGCCCATGGTATACGTGAACTTCATGGTATGGAGCTCCCGCGATTCGGAACCGTCCGTGTCAGATCCGGAGTCGGATTCGGTATCCTCTGCCACATGATTTGGAAGGTCGCCCGTGTGACCTTCAACGCTGTCTGCACCGTGTGTTGTAAGGCCAAAATATTGGTAGTCGTAGCACGACTTGATATCGGCAAGAGACTTGGAATCTTTCAATACAGTTTTGCGATCGGACGTATCGCATAGGACAAGCTCAATGTTGTCTTTAGGGGTGCACGGATGCGAGTTTACCTGCGCGGAGCCGTAAAAGGTTCGGTGACAGCTGTGCAGTGCGAGTTTGTCATGGAATGGGTTACCTCGAACCGGGTCCAGGTTGATCCAGATATCGTAGAGGTTGTTCAGGTCGATCGTGTAGGCGAAGTCGATCTCGTTGGCGCCCCTGTTGATGCCTTCGAACTTGTCGGAGATCTTGATGGCAACACCAGGATTGAGGGGGGACCCAAAGTGCCATGGTTCTCGGTACTGACCATTAGGCTTGAGAGGGACGTTTTCGGTGAGTGAGCTGCTGAGCCACTGGGGTACAGACCAGATGTAGACCGTGTATGGGCAATGGTTGGTGACGATAGCTCCGGCCTGAGCCAGAGCCGCGAGTGCCAGGACGAAGAAGGCTTGTCCGAGCATTGTGTTGAAAGGGTTCGGTATGAGAGATGATGCAGTCAGCAGTAACAGTAGAAAACACTGGAGAAGGGGTTGGAGAAGAAGAAGAGAGTCGGGATGGGAGGTGCAGTTTATGAGCGGTAGAAAGTATGTTTACGTGTCGTCATAACGAACACAGGAAGTTGCAACATCGCCCGTTGCTGCCATGAGTTGGAAAGATTTGGGGAGGTGCGCCGGATGCGTTGGAAGGTAGCTCATGCATTTCGTGAGATCTTCCAAGCCTATTGCTACCCTAGCTTCCTGTTAGACCCCCAAAATATCGGTGCGTAGTCATTTGAAGAGGCTTCAGCTGCCGTAGCCGATGCTTAAATGCTAGCAACGTGTGGAACCATTCTTCGAGGTCCATGTTGCTTGCTCATGTAGCTGGAAGGGCGATCACGATCTCGCAAGATCGCTTTCCTGGCGCAGCAGGTCCAATTCGGGAATCGCCTTCTCCCTACCAGTATGAACTGCCACCATATCTCTAGAAGGAGAGCACGATCAATAACCATGGTCGGTTAAATGGAAGCCCCGGGGCTGGTATCTGGTGATCAGGAGATGAAGCGCGTCGGCGCACGGCGGTGATACTTCCCCACCTGTGCGTGCTTTGGCACAAGGAGACTTCAGCATCGCGTTATCACCACAGAAAGAGTCGCATAGGCCGCCATACACGATGGGTGATTTGTTGTTGAACTCCATGGTGGTGGTTGTATTGTGGGTTTAGGGTTGGTGTGGACAGATGCGCACGGCGAGGGAAGTCGCTTACTCAGCCCCTCACTCGCAGCTTGAAGCACTCCGGCTAGCGTCCTGGAGACCTGAGGCGCGAATGAAACACTGCAGACCTCAGCATCAGCAGCAGTACAATAAGAACAGAATGGCCCCGTATACTGTTTGCGCAAATTGCGCATTCTCACACATTTCACTTTTCGTTCCTGGATAGCATTGTCGCCGTAATACGTACTTTCAACGTCCGATTCGCGTCCAAGCCTCAACTACGCGCCGACGCGCCCCACCATCCTCCATGATCCAACAATCCTCTTGTATCGACATGCCCACCATGTCTTCCTCAATAAGGGAAGTACCCGTCCAGCTACCGAAGAGCTTCGACCGACCCGACGAGCCATGGCACCACTACATCAATGTCGACCTGATATGGTACGTCCTCGGATACACGGTCTTCCATCCGTTCGTATCATGGGTCGTGGTACTGTGTCTGCGCGCGCAGTATACACCCTATGAGAACATCGAGATGCGCATTGCCATGGCGTGGGCTATGCTCATGACCGTCACCGGCATCTTCGGACTCATCAGCGACCGGATCGCATGGGGATCACCGCGCGAGGTGGACCTAGAGGAAGAGGTTATTGTTATAACCGGCGGTGTTGACGGTCTGGGTGGACTATTGGCCGAGACGTATGGAATGCGCAATGCCAACATCGCCGTCCTGGACATGAAGGAGGTCGATGAAGATGAGGCGGAAAACAAGGGCGTGGTTTACTACAAGTGCGACGTGAGCGATGCAAAGCAGGTTGAAGTTGCCGTAGCCAAGATTGTCGACGACGTGAGTATTCCTCTGCTAGGAGATCGCACTCTGCTAACGACCACAGCTCGGCGCTCCGACGATCTTGATCAACAACGCTGGCATGGTGCAAACCAAGTCAATCCTCGACTCAACCGCTGAAGATGTGGAGCGGTATGTATACTCTGGAATCCTTGTTGACATCTGCTGACACCTCACCAGCACCTTCCGCGTCAACACCCTCTCTCAGTTCACCACCCTCCGTACAATCCTCCCGCACATGCTGAAGGAAGGCCGCGGCACCATCGTAACCGTTTCCTCAGTCCTCGGCCACCTCGGTGCCGCCAACCTATCCGCATACACAGCTTCAAAAGCGGCACTTCTGGCGCTGCATCACTCGCTTCGCGCGGAGCTTGCACAAAACCCCGCTGCAAAGGACATCAAGACAATCCTCGTACAACCTGGTCAGATGGGTACAACCATGTTTGCAGGCCTCAAGACCCCAAGCAACTTTCTAGCGCCTGTGGTTACGCCTGCCGATATTGGAAAGGACATCATCAAGCTGATTGAGCGGGGTGAGAGCGGCGAGATTGCGCTGCCTTTGTACTCAAAGTATATCCAGATCCTTGGTGTACTGCCTGTCGGCGTGAATCATCTTGTGCGGAAGTGGAGTGGCATGGACAAGGCTGTTGGAAAGATGGGTGAGCTGAGGCAGAGACAGAGTCTTACGGAGAAGAAATAATAGGCTGCTGATACCCACGATCTAAAGACCTTCATACGCGGATGGTCTCGGATTAATGTACAATACACGCTCATGATCTATGCGACTTAGTGCCATATGCGACTCCACTGGTATCTATATTTCGACCTTGCGATCACACTTGCTACAGTGTGATACCATTACAGCATGCGTCCGCATCACGGAAATGATCCTGCCAGTGTTCACATGTGAACGATGGTTTGCGGGGACCACTAGCGCCGTAGGGCTGATCTTAGCGAGCGCTCGCACATCTCGACCCTGAAATCGCGACGGCGACATCATCATCACCACAAGAAAATGTAAGAAGATCCCGGGCTATTCTGTTTGTCTAGCAAATTTGCGTGCGAAACATACTAATTGACGTCCAGACTTTCTTCGCCTCAGATCAACACAATGGCCGACCAGAAAGCATCCAAGTACTACGCTGCCGAGGAGGAGGCGCAGATGAAGAAGGTATGCGCATTTCTCGCGATGAATTTTGACTCGTGGAAAAGACACACAAATGTATATGTTGGAGTTGTCGCGAATATCAAGCTAACGACCCAATTCACAGGCGCGCAAGACAGCCCACCCCACCAAGTACCGCGAGTCGCTCGCCTCAGGAACCGTCCTGATCCTCCTCTCCGGCCGCTTCCGCGGTAAGCGCGTCGTACTCCTGCGCCAGCTCGAACAAGGCGTGCTCCTCATCACCGGCCCCTTCAAATCCAACGGCGTCCCCCTGCGTCGCGTCAACCACCGCTACGTCATCGCGACCTCGACCGTTGTCGACATCGCCGGTCTGGACGAGGAAGTCGTGTCGCGCGTCAGCAAGGACGAGTACTGGGCGCGCGAGAAGAAGGACGGCAAGGGCGAGGACGACTTCTTCAAGGACGGCGAGACACCTGCAAAGAAGGAGACGGATCCTCAGCGGATAGAAGACCAGAAGAAGGTGGACAAGGCGCTTATGGCTAATATCAAGAGGACTCCTGATCTGGAGTCTTACCTCGGTGCTAGCTTCGCTTTAAGGAGCAGCGATAGGCCGCATGAGATGGTCTTCTAGGCGTCAGCACGAAAACGGTACGTTGACAGTGCGTCAACGAGACGAGGACGAAGCAAGGACGGGGCGAGAACGAGACGAAAACGAGGCGGATACTTGCGGCAACGGTCCGACCGCGAACAACGGTTCGAACGAGGATGAGCACCCGGACGCTACGAGCGATACGGTACGATTTCATATGTAGATGAGATACCCATGAACCAAAATCTGAGCACCAACTCCGTCTTGCTCGCATCCACGCGAACAGTTGCAATCACCCTGGCGACATTCATGCCGTTAATACGCCCACTTACATGGGTATTGCAATTGGTATGGGTTGATGGCCTGCCATTGTACTTTTCGATACTGACCTTATCCAGATCAATGTACTATGATCCAATCGCAGTGCCTGTCTGACATCGCTTGTAATGCAGCTTTATCCTTGGACTTCCGCGGAGTGCAATGGGCGGCTCTGCGAAAATGATGACTGATTTGAGGCTGTGCCTCTAGACTTGCATCCTCTGAATCCACGAATAGCGCACCCTGTATCGCAGATGGTGTAGCCAACTGCAGTTACAAGCGTGCCAAGTAGCGAGCCTATTGGCACAGTCGCACAGCGGGTATTTGGGGGCCAGGGGGCCTTATTCTACAGCAGCCTTGTTAAGCAGCTCACATCCAGGTACGTACACGTTGTTATCCTATCTGAAGTACCCGATTCATCGTTCGTTCTCTGATTCCCCTCAACCATGGTCTCTGATGATGGCGAGCTCTCTCATTCGAGCAGTATCATGAAGAATCGTCTCCTTAAAGAGCACGAGAAGGATTCTCATCCTTCACAGCCCCCACGTCAATATTCATGGAGAACCGGATTTTGGCGGCGCTTTCCCCGCTCTGGAGTTTTCGCCCTTGTCATCGCGCTGGCTGCAACGGTCAGCATGATTTACATCATCGCCGCATCGGACGGTCAGCCTATTACCTCCTGGAAGTATCAACCCACTGTGTGTCTCGCCATATCATACACGATCGCGAACATTGCGCTGCAATATGCTCTCGCGCAAGCTGTCACCATCGCCTGGTGTGTAAAGGCCTTGAAAGGCGACGCGAAAGTCAAGGATCTGCACAATATTTGGTCGTTCGGACATGGGGTCGTCCCAATACTGCGATCGGGGCGGTCTTTCAACCTGGTCGCTCTGGCTGGACTCGCTGTTACACTAGCGCCTATCAACGGACCTCTTTTGCAACGCGCTTCTGTCATCCACCAACGAACCCAAGTCGAGATGAAGAATCTCACCATAAATATCGCAAAAGAAATCCCGGATGGTTTCACGGGAAGAGGCGCGGGGTTTGGTAGAGCGTCCTTACTGACTCCCATATTCAGTGAAATTGTCAAACAACACTCCGATGGGCAGCCTATGGTTTTGCCCAACTCTGGCTGTCTAGGTGTATGCAAGGGCACTTTACTAAGTGCAGGATATGACGCGGTCTGTACTCAGAATACCACTAACCCGTACAACCGCACTGCTATTGTAGGAACAGGCGGCAATACAAACGAGACGCACATCTTCTGGTCGAACTTCACTAGTCTTGACAATGGGTATTCTCCCCAAAATCCTGGAGTCTTCATGAGCTACACGGCCATGTTCAAGAGTTCGAAAGCGTGCATTGGATCCATGAATAGAACCCATTGCGAGTTACGGCCTGCTCTCATTGAGTATCCTGTCATAATCAAGAATGACACCATTGCCCTTGACCCAAATGGCTCATGGGAATCGGACAGAACTCAATCTCTCACTCCATTTTGGCATGGCTGGGCTAGTGACGCTAGAAAGAGCACTCATGGTGGCACATTTCTTTACATGAAGGCCAAGTGGGAATCGAACATGGGTGTATATTGGAACTTTGGTCCTTGGAGCTGGAGATCGAGTACGAGCGGCACGACTATCTTCAATTACATGACCGACTTGGTGGAATCGACAGCATCTATGGATGACTTCTGCAACATGACGTTTCCGGATCCGACATCTGACGTCCTAAACTCACTCCGCGAGCTTTCCCTTCGAACCGCGCTGTTCATACCGGGCGTAAAGGGTAATCTTAGCAAGTTAACCTCTGTGACCTCCGACTATCTTCGCCCCTGGCCTGAGTCGGAGAGGGAGGGTATCTACCAGCAGACAATACTAGTCGAGCAGACTGGCGAAGCAGTCGTGTTCAAGAGTCAATACCAATTCCTCGCCATTGCCATCGGCATCACGCTCGTAGCCACGGCCTGTGTTTTCACAGTATTGGCGGGATGGTGGCATCTAGGCCGCGAGGTCTCGCTCTCACCAATCGAAATCGCAAAAGCCTTCAATGCGCCGCTTCTTGCAGAGTCGCATCCCAACGCCGAGGTCAGAAGGCTGCTCAAGGAATGCGGCGAGCAACGGTTGAGGTACGGTGTAGTGTGGGAGAATCCTGACTATCCCGTGACTTCGGTACCGACGCTGAGATTGGAGAAGACGGAGCTTTGCGAGAAACCGCGTAATAGACAGGTGTTAGGTCATTAGCCTTATCTGTGCGCAAGAGCCGCAACAGATCATCAGAAGGCGACTCTTGGTGTATTCAGATCCATGCATCCAGATCATCCGTCGCTCTCGTGTTTCCTCGATCGTTCGGATAACGTTTGCACCTCGTGGCAGCACCTGCCCTGTAAGACAGCGCGGTGGCGTCATTGTGGGATGAGGCGGTGGCTGAGACTTCCTACAACTGCTCATGTACTACCTCGCGACTACTTCTTCCAACGAAGCCCGTTTCCTTGGCGATGAGATGAAATCATCCATGTGGATACCATCAGGCCATGCGATAAGGTACCCAGGTAGTGACAACGCCACAGCATGACCTCACTCTCGTGCCAGCTACACGTCAGCCACACTCAACTTCGACATACCCTCTATTATACCTTTACCTACGCACTCTTTTGCCGAGTAATAACGGTCCGATGCGTCCTCTTCAGGAACTGGCCCAGGACGCCAGTGGCCACGCCAGTCCCAGTAATCACGAAACAAGCGGTTTTTTCAGTGGTACTACTCATAGTGTTGTGTCTGATGATAGCACACAAGATGTAAGTGACTGCCTCAACGTGGAAAGAGCCGCAGCTAACAACATATGACAGGAGAAGCTCGTACAGTTTCTGGCATCATCTACCCTCAATGAGACCAGTACTAGTAGTTTGCTCAAAACGTTCTGTAGGGACATGGAACAGCCGGTGTATTCATCACTAGGGGGTCGATGTAGTTTCCCCTTGCTCCGTCTCGTTCTCCAATGCTGACATGAGCCAGACAAGTATCGATCCGCTGATGGGAGCAACAACAACATCCACCTGCCCAACGTCGGTAAGGCTGGTTCTTACTACGCGCGCATGGTCACTCCAAGACATATACCTACAAAGCTTCCCGATCCAGAACTGCTCTTCGATACACTGCTCGCGCGAGAAGCCAAGCCAAAGCCCCACCCCAGCCAACTATCGAGTCTGTTCTTTGCCTTCGCGGCTGTCATGGTATGCGATGTGTTTCGTACAGGCGACGAAGATAATGATGTGGCTATGACATCTTCATACTTGGACCTATCGTCACTATACGGGGAATCAGAGGAAGCACAGAGCTCTGTCCGCACCTTCGTCGATGGGAAGTTGAAGCCTGATGCTTTCGCTGACACAAGGATCCTCAGCCGGCCCGCAGCGGTAAGTCATGAGCTCTAGTTTGTTGTGTAATTGCTCATCTTTGGTAGTCCTCTGCCCTGATTGTATGCTTTTCGCGGTTTCACAACATCGTTGTCGAGCAACTGGCCATCATCAATGAGAACGGTCGATTCAGCCATCCCTGCAACGCGGCTGGAATTGACACGGGGTCTTACAAGCGAGCTCTCAGCAAGCGCGACAACGACCTCTTCCAGACTGCACGGCTAGTAACGACCGGATTATACATCAACATTGTCCTAAAAGACTACGTGCGCACGATCCTCAACCTACAGTGCGTAGATTCATCGGTGACCTTAGATCCACGAGCAAAGATAGAGGGTATCATCGGGCCGACAGACATCGACAAGGCCCGCGGCAACCAGACAAGCGCCGAGATAAACATGATCTATCGGTGGCATTCGACTATATCGAAGAAGGACGAGGACTGGCTCACAGATCACATGTCTATGATATGTCCAGATATGAAGATTGGCCATCTGACTTTGGAAGACATGCGAGCTGGCATGCGTCGACATGCTGCTATACCGCCTGCGGATCCTGGTCGGCGTGTCTTCGCTGGTCTCGAAAGGAAGGGCGACGGCTACTTTCGCGATGAAGATATCGTCCAGATACTCACAGAAGCCACGGATGAAGTTGCCATGAGCTTCGGCCCACATCGGGTCCCTCTGGCGTTGAAGGTCATCGAAGTAATGAGTATTGAGCAAGGTCGGCAATGGGGCGTAGCTTCTCTCAATGAGACCAGAAGATTCTTCGGGATGACATCTCACACCTCGTTCAGCGATATTCACTCCGACCCTGACGTCGCTGCCGCGCTCGAAGTCTTGTACGAAGATGTTGAGAACGTCGAGCTATATGCCGGAACTATTCTGGAAGAGCCAACTGCCCCGATGACTCCGGGATCAGGATTGTGTGCAGGAACGACGGCGACCAGAGCAGTGGTGTCACATGCGCTCTCTCTTATTCGGGGTGATCGATTCTACACCGTGGACTACACCCCGCACCACCTGACAGCTTTTGGGTTCAACGCAGCTTCCAGCGAATACTCAATCGATGGCGGAGGTGTCATGTACAAGCTACTGATGAGAGTCTTTCCCGAATACTATCGTGGCAACTCGATTTACGCGCACTACCCGCTGACCACGCCTGTGGAGATGAGACGACGACAGAAGTCTCTCGGGCACGAGACAGATTTCTGCTATGAGAAGCCGCGCTACGGGTCGCCTCCCACAGTCATCACCGATTACAAGATGATCCTCCGTATTCTTCGTGACCAGACTTTGTACACGACAGCGTGGACTCACACCCTGCGGCAATTGGAGTATCAACCACATGTTCTGCTTGGTAACACTATCGCTGCCGTCAAACAGCAGGACATCATTCGGCAAGCTATACTCGGCCCCGAGGAGTCGATAGAAATCTTTGCGCACTTCCTCAACCTGAAGACCACCCAGCTCGTGCAGAACAACAGCAAGTGGCTTTTCAAAGTTGCCGAGATAGATGCGATCAAAGACGTGGCAGCTCGCAGTTGGACACAATTTGCTGCGTGTCTGTTCAACATCCCGATCAGCGACTCGCAAGATTCAACGGCCAGCTTTGATGACAAGCAGCTCTTCAGCAAGATGATAGCAGTATTTCACTTCGTTCATCTAGACAACAACCCTGCGAATTCTGCCGCATTGCGGAGGGATGCAATCACTGCAAGCGATGAAATGTCGAAAGAGGTCAGGGTTGTTTGCGAAGGAATGAAAGCATCACCCGCTGTGCAATTTCCGGATCCCCGTAAGCGACGACATGCGAAGCGCAATCTCATGCCAGACCATGGAGCGAAAGTGATGCAACGGCTCTTCGATAATGGGGCAAAGGTCAAAGAAGTTGTCTCTCTAGTGGTCATACTTGCCGTAGATCTTGTCGTGTTCAGCACCTTTGCTGTAAGTCTACAAGTCGTTTCAAGCATTCGCCCCGGCTGACCATTACTAGTTCTGCCAAGTCATCGATCTCTTCCTCTCGGAACCTTACCATTCTATGCACTGGCCAGACATCCAAAAACTGGCGAAAGACATTACACCAGCAAACTCCGAGGTACTGCGCGCATATGTGCTTGAGGCTCTGCGCCTTATCACACCCGCAACTGGCTTCCTTCGCATCCCTAATACCTTTCTCACCACTAGCGACTGGCGACACGCAGAGGGTATTAACAAGGGTGATGACCTTATCCTCGACGTGGCTACTGCATCTCGCGATCCCGCTATCTTTCCTGACCCCGACAACATCAACCTCGACCGTCCACACGAGCTGTACCTACCATTCATCGACGGGTTGCACGGAGCCCTGACCAGGCCTATCATCGTTGCTGGTTTAGTCACCCAGTTGCGTATCTTTGCTCGAATGGAAGGTCTCAGAAAGGGGCCGGGTACGCAAGAGACGTTGAGGCGGGAGGTTCAAGAGGGTACTGTAAGCTTTTTGAGCGAGGCTAAGGATGAGTGGGTGCCACTGCCAGTCAGTAAGTACAGGTTCGCTACATGAACTGTTCGTGGGCATTCTAATCATCTGGAATAGGCATGCGAGTGCACTACGACACCTTCGACCCTACTGCATGCGCGACCTTGGCATGATGAGTACTATGATGGACATCATAGGGTTGAAAGAATGAAAGAGACGCCACACCTCCAACCAAACGAGTTACATAGTAGTCTCAAAGATGCATCCTTAGTCTCCTACTACTACACCCCCGCTTTTCTTCACATTCGTATCCCGCGACTGGTTCCACATTGGTCATAGATTTCCTCTAATCCCTCCAGCTCTGTATCTAAGTACCTGGATCGAACGTATCACCGTGAGTGAAATAACGCCCAGGTTCTTGTCGACTCCTGTAAGGGAACGCGCATACCGTTCCGCACTGACATCTTGGGGGCCTATTTAAAGGTCAGCACACATGCGATTCAACGTATACGTATCTCGGTACTTACAGTTCTTCATCCGATGTATTAAAAATGGCTTCCAACGCCGCTTCCTGGTCGTGATCGCGCTGGCCCTTGAAGATCGCCTCCCATTTCTCTTTCGTAACCGTCTTCACAGCACCGGTCAACGTGACTGTTAGTTTCTCTTTCGACTCCTTTTTTTTGCACTTGTCGATTAGAAAAGGATATGCGAAAGTGCAGATCCAGTCCACCATCGTACGCTGACAGCAAATGTAATCCTCCCCTCCATACCGACAAAATCGATCGTGTTCGTATTCACTGCCCCATTGGCTGCCCTGGTAGCCGTCATCCGGCGTTCGATAGCGAAGACGTAAGTCGCGAAGGCTTTCAAGCTTACGAAGATAGGAACCTTGAGACTGAGCCCAGCCAGTATTGATTCCGAACGGGTGACGATCCATATTGACACCGAAGAAAGTAAACCACTCTTTATTAGTGAAGCTCAACTCGACTTTGCTCAGGTATTGGTAAGCCACAACTGTGCCCGGTTGTGCTTCCGTGGCTAGGGTAAATAGCTTTGGCTCGAAGAATCGGCTACGCATTCGTACCCAGGCGAAGTGAAGAAACTCGTCGCGGATCGTGGAGTTGACTGCTGAAAGCGAGATATCTGGTTCGTATACGAAAGGTCGATCTTCTGACATCTGGTCGTTATCCCACGGAGACGCCAATAATGCGTCACCCTTTCGATGCCAAAACAGACCCCGGTGATAGCCCAGTCCCAACGTTAGCTGGGCTCCAGGTTCGGGCCTCCCATCAGAAAAGGGGTGGCGGTACTCCTTAGCGATGCACTGACTGCTCAGCGGGTATACTTCACCACCAAGCGCGGCCTTGTAGATCTTCTCTCGTATCTCGGCTGGAAAGTCTTCGAAGCGACGTTTGCTGCCCTTACTCTTGTACCACTTGAACTGTAAGTGATACCCAAGACGACCGAGCCATTCGCGTGACTTGATATTCTTCGCGAGCCAATCACCGAAAGATACCCACTCCTTCTTGTATGTCTCGTAGATGTGGATAGTCTCGGCAGTTGGCGGCGAGCCATTCGGCAAGATGGTAACCCATTTCGCCTGTTTCTCACTGTCCTTCTCAACGACTTCGAAGTAGTAAGACTTGATATCGAAGAGATTCATGTAAGGCGGCCACAGCGGCGGCGCGTCATCCACAGGTCTGATGTTGACCCGCAGGGCGAAAGCAGTAAAGTTGTGTTTCTTCGGCGCGATCATCGTATGATACATCTCAGCGAGTACGGGGTCGTTGAAGTGCCAGCCCTTATTGAACTCGTACGTGGTCTCGTCGGTGAAGCGGCCGACTTGTCCGTCGCGTGGACACCGCATCATCACGAGCGGGTCGGTGATTTTGTCATTGCGCGCGTCGGGGAGGACGCGGTTGTACTTGCGAGGGCGTTTTGCGAGGTCACCGGCTGGAGGGTCGAAGATTGCGAGGCAGCTTAGGAGAAAAGTTGGTGCTGTTGCAGAGAGCTTTGACGACTTGACGGGTACGAAGGGAGGCGCGGTGGCGGTAAGCCTTGAGCTCCTTGCGATATCAGTGGTTTCGAGGAAGTTGTCATGGTTGAGCCGTTGAGTGGCGGAGCCGAAAGTGTCCGCGTTCGAAGGAGCGATCTCGTACTCGTACTGCCAGGGGTCGTATGAGGAATCAAGTAGGCCAGAGGGGGTCACCACGAAGCCGCTCGAGTACTGTTGAATGGGATAATCATGATAGCCGACGGGCAAATGCGCATATGTAGTCCAATACTGAGATGGTACGAACAACGGTATCCGAGGAAGAGAAGGACTAGCCATGTCGTGTTCGATATCAGACCGAGAGTGGTAGTCAGGGTCGAAAGGCTCAATGGAGAGACCAGAAGCAGCCATTTCGGACATCGTGTTGGAGTTGAGGAAGTTGATGCGCCTTGTAAATGAGCGCTTTTGATAGATCAGGGCTTGATAGCCCCGAGAATATGCACAGGGAGGTGATGCTAGCGCCAAATAACGGAGACGGTCTGTGCATTTTGCTGTAGGCAGTAGTAATAGGGAATGGAGTAGCGTATACAGAGGGTTCACTTTGCTTTCTCTGGTTTCTTCCGTGTTATTTGGTCTACTAAACATACAAAACGGCTGGTCAAAATAACTGGTGCATTAGATCGTGGCAACAAAACTTTTGCAAGGCCACCTATACGCCATGTTGAAGGTGTGTTTGAAGCTTGTGAGTATATCAGGGCGCAATAAAGCATGATGAAGTAATTTGTTGATATCTTCAACGTCTTGGAAGCTAGCTTGGAGTTTCATGGGGCGAACAGATAAGTAGGGTTCATTTTCAAACCCGTCTTGTTCGATGTGTGCCGATTGCGATCTTGGTCTCTAAAGCTTTACTCATTCTTCGTACAGTGAAAGGACGTGATTGATTACAGCCCCTTCTATCATGACTTCAATGGGTATTTGCATTTGACGATATCTTGTGTACCCTCCAGTTCCTTGATCAATGTAATCCTGCCTTGCGGCGAGCCTGTTGGACTGGATGCCTCGGTCTTCCGAGATATCGATGATATGTTCCTGGTTCTGGTCCGCTCAAGACGGATCGTCTTATTCCTCGCAGTCGAAGTCGTCGGGCGGAGGTAACTTGTTCGAAGGCCAGTCGTGAATGTGACGGTTACCGTGTCGAACCTTGCAAGGCGTGCGACAAAAGCATGGAGGTGGGCTATTAATATTGTTAGCAAGTAACCAGGGTGGGACGCTTTTTGAAGATGGGTAGATGCTTACATATCTGCTGATGGGGTATCCAGAATGGCCGCCAGCTCAGCAGCGTGGTCCATTACGCCATCCTTGTCTTTGGCAGGCAGCGCGAGGAGCTCATTCCACTTGTCCTTTGTGTCCTTTTTCAAGATCCCACCGAGTCTCACCTTTGGCAGATCCCTTACAGATGGCCAAGCGAATGTCATGATCCAGTCGACCATTGTACGTTGACAACAGACAAAGCTGACCATTATTGACTTATCGACACGACGCATCCCATAAGGATAGTAAGCGGCTCCGTCGTCTGGGCTTCGAAACCAAAGCTGCAGAGTTGACAGTCCATCCAAAGTAGCGAGTATAGGTCCAAGAGACACACCGTTATCCATATTGATGCCGTCACGAAATCCGACGCCGAAGAAACCGAACCAATCGGTCATCGTGAAGTCCAGAATGAGATGGTTGAGCCAGTTAAAGTTCGGTTTGCTAGCCGCCTCAAGGACTGATCTGAGCTGGACTGGGTGGAAAAAGCATTTTCGAGTGTCTTCCCAGCCAGCCTGAAGTGCCTCACCATAGGTCTGTCTGTTTATAGACAAGAGCGCAAGATTGGGCTCGTAAGCGGAGCACCCTGTAACTGTGTGCTCACGTCCATAGAGCCGTGAGGGGTGGCGCTGATCGATTTGACTGCTGTCATGCCAATTGCGGAAGCCCAGGCCGAGACGAACATCAGCGTCCTTGAGTATAGTCAAAGGGTAGATTCTAGGACCGAGAGCGAACTCGAAAACCTTCATGCGCATCTCGGTTGGAAGGTCGGCGAACCGGAAGTGCTTCCCATTGAGCTTCCAACAGATGCGCTGCGCCCTGTAGCCCCTCTCGCCAACCAAGTCTTCAGCGGGCGTCTGGCTGGAAAGCAGCCAGTCTTTTAACAAGATCCATTCTGTACCGATCTTTAAGTGTAGATTATCCTCTGTCGGACCGGGCATTCCTGGGGAAAAGGTTACCCAAGCGGTGAGGGGAAACTCATTGAATCTATCCATAAAGGTATACAGTTTGCTGCAGTACGTAGTGTAGTCGGGTAAAACCAGCCAGAACGGCGGTGACTTGACGGTAGGTTCTACTCGGAGATGCATGTCTGCGACGCCGATGTGGTTCGCTTCCATGTCGCGAATAAGAAGTGTAATGTACCACATGACTGCGTCGTTCTGGCGAGGAGCTGGTTCGAAGTCGTACGTGTACTTGTTCGGTCCGTAGTTGAGCGATCGCAGTTTATCAAAGGGTGGCGGACAGTACCGTACGCTGTTGAAGCGGTTGATGGACGCTCCTTTTCCACTATCCGCTATCGCCATGCGTTCCAGAGCGAGTATCCGGGTCTCCAGGTAAGGGACTTCTGACGACATTGTTGGTAGCGTTCGTATGTGGAGGTTGAGGTCGAGGACAAAGGTGCTAGTAATGCTGATTAGTGATGCGGGCGCAAGCATTGACAAGAGGCAGGAGGAGTTGGCGAATACATAGTCCAGTCAGCGCTTGAAGTGAATAAGCCAGTAGACTCCAAGCGAGGAATCATGTCAAGAGAAGGTCTTGGAAACCGGAGCTCCTAATGCGGTCAATGCGCCCATTCTCTCTCGAAACGCATGATAGAAGTTGCAGGCGCAACCGCCGAGGTTTCCTGACCCTTTTCGTTGAACAATGCTTTTTCGTATAGGTATAGTATGGTTCATTCAGATTGCGACTGGGTCGGTGATCTCTGAGAGGAAGACCATGTTATCGTCTCTGGGTTGAGTCTACCGGCCATCATGCAGGCGAGCACACTGAGCAACGCGCCGCCAAGGCTACAAAGAATAACAATTAGATTGGTCAAGGACGGACGTTACTCAAGCGGTACGGTAAATGGAGGCAACTCCAACCCCCAGAAACGCCTCGCTATACCAATGGCCCAAAATTAATTGAGCTGCCTTGCACTATGCTCACCACAACAGATAAGCGCCGACGAACAATGAAGCTATGAGAAGCCCTTGACTTCTCAGAATATGTGCCGCGCTGGTACTCTCTGTGCCACAGCACGACTGCTCGTTGTACGTGACGTTGTTGGCCGTCGCAGCAACCTGGAAGACAGAGCCATTAAAGTTGCCGTAGTTGTAGTAGTCGACGAGTATCCAATTCGGTGGACGAGTCCACATTTTTTCGCAGTTTTGTACGTTAAGACCAACGCTGCCGTTTCCGGACACAGCATTGATCTCATCGAGGAGGGAGTATGCCGGTATGAGGATGCTGCTTACACCCGGGAGGCTGACTTCGATGTTCAGGTTGTGATTCATCACGTACATGCGCTCGCGTGAGACTTCTTCTGGCTGATTCGGGGGTCGTTGCTCCGTACAAGGGAACGAGGGATCGGTTGGCGAAAAGGGTGTTTGCCACTGATAGTTGAATTCGCTGAGCAGCCACGGGACTTGTTCCTGGTCTGCGCCATAGTCCAACATCACCACGACACGCTTATTTCTAATAATCATCTCGGCCAATGTGGGCCAGTCCGTCAGATTCAGACTAGCCGAAGGCGGTGTCCATACGTATTCCATTATTCCTGAGTTCTGAAAAGGTGCGATATAGTCTGTCGCTGGGTTTCGAGTATCCTGACCGTTGTTGTTGCCCATCATGATGGCAATGACTTCGAACGGGTTTTGGTCGAGCCAGCCTTTGACCGTTGCGAGGTATGATTCGAGGGTACCCACGTCGAGCAGGTTACAGGAGGTATGGCAGAGGCGTATAGCGGAGGTCTCGTTGGGTTTTTGGGTCTCGAACTGCACTATTATTGAAAGTCAGCCAGAGTTTTCCGGTATCGTGTATGATGCGCTTACACCCTCGAACTCCATCGTTGAGCTGATTAAGCACTGGGTAGTCTTGGTTGCTGGCTGCATTGTGCGGCCTCACGAATGGGCTGTTATGTGCGACGACCATAGAGATGTTGGAAAACCTCCTCTGGCAAAACTCGACGTATCCATTGCATGGCTGAGTATTAGTCGGGCTTGGACGAGCAGATTTCGTGGTCGATGAAGCAGTGCCGTTTGAGGATTCGGTCGAAGGAGACAGCCCGACTATGGCTGTCACCTCTTGTGTTGTCGTCGACGAGGTAGCGGTGGCGTTCTGCCGCCCGGAGGTGAATGTGCTCAGGACAATGCCCGGGAGACCGCTCGAGAAGTCGGCGGAGTAGGTACTCGTAAAGGTACTGGAGACATCGACGATTGTTTCCGTAGAACTGCTAGGTATAGGCGTATTTGGCGAGGAGGAGGGAGAAGACTGTGCGGTTGTAGGTTTTGTAAGTAGGGCCAAAGGGAAGAAAAACAATGTAGGAATCATGAGGGCGATGCGATGCGAAAGAATGACGAAGTGCTAGTTAGCATATGTTATGCAATGCCGGCATACAATTGATGCTATGCGCTGTACTTATCGAGAGACGATGTCGAGACAGTCTGCCTTACCAGCACTACGTTGGTGGTGCACCTTAGCTGACATTCGCCGGAAAGCACGATGACGGCATTGCTCGCCTCGAACGCCATCACACGTTGTGTCGGATCTACGCGGGGAAGGCTGAATGCGACCATCTCGAAGGCCTATCCGTCCTGGAAAACGCCTTTCGCGTTAATCGGAGATTTATGGGTCCAATAGCAGCCATACAATGGTTTGACGTAGTAGACATTGACTGCAGTAGGGCTGGCGTTGGCAGCAAGAGGGCTTGTGGCGGTATTGGCGCACGCGGGTCTCAAGAGCCGCGTCGTGAGGCATTTTGACGCGTCATTAGCCTCCAAACACTGTGGAAGACGGCCGATGAGGTCATTGAACGGTGAAAAGATCTCGGAAGTGCTGAAGCCAATTTCGCTGTGGCCGTGTAGAGAGAGGCTGGGGTTGAGTACGCGACATGGAAGACGCCCAGTCTCGCGTGACACGCTAACCGTTTAAGCTTCAGGGACTGAGGGTCAAGCCTCACGGAGGTCCACCCCAAATGGTTCCGCCCATGGATACGAGCTTTGAGCCGACTAGACACACTACTTCCACCAGAGCTCTTGTCGTCTCTAATGTTTGCTTCCTTGTTTCCGGAGGCACTGACACGATCCCTGGAGGGCTCGTTCTAGCCTCAACAACAAAGAGCATGCCGGCCGAGCCTACTGAAGACTCCGACATTGCAGACACAGAAATGGACTTTTAACCCGGAATATAATCAATATTGATTGTCACATAGAACTCGCGCTCCTTCCTGTCATCATTCTACTAATCCCAACAGCCGTAACATCGATGCAGGCCCACCTCACATCCGGATTCGCCGCAAACCTCCATCTACCGTCTGATCGACGAAGAAGGCAATGCGCCTCGGACTCACACTAGAGACCTGAACTTAGTTCACGCAATCTCTCACACGAACACCCTCTTAACCCCAACCTTAATACAACTCGGCGGATCTAGCAAAAGCAGTCAGCACAGTCCCACCACCCCAACATCAACATCTACCGAAAAAAGAAGAAAGCACCAAACTTACCAGGTTTCCCAACCCCCGTCCCCCACACCAAAGTCTGCCGAACATACCCCGTTCCATAATACGTGAAGCAAACCCACCAGCGATAGTACCCGATCCACTTACCCATTTCAGGTTTCTCCGCCCCCCAAGTAATCGGATTCTGGAAGTTGAGTATGTCGTTGCTGTCGAAAGAGAGGCTGCCGTCGCCACTGTAGGTCATGGCCAGTTGGGCAATGGACAAGGGGACAATGTCTTGGGGTTGGAGGAGCACGGAGAGGTCGATGGGGTAGGGGTCGTAGGGGATGGTCCAGGAAAGGATGCCTTGGGTGCCGAAGATCTGGGTGGGCGTGTTAGTGGATGTGGGGATGGGGGCTGTGGGTTTCTTTTGGTGGTCGGTAGGGCTGATAGGGAAAGCAGTGTAGATGTGTATTAGAGACGTACGTTTGTGATGGCAGTGTCGGTTGTGTTGTGGGTCAGGACAACGGGATACTGGGCCCCTTCTTCTGAAAGCGTGGGACAGAGCGTGAAAACTGCTGCACCCGCATGGCATGCAGATAGTGTTTTGCCGTTCAGGGAAGGATCTTCGGATATGAGGACGAGATTGAAGGGGTCGGATTGTACGGTGTAGATGGGTTCACAATCGTATTCGCAATCAGCGTCAGCGTGAGTGAGAGCTGCAAAAGCAAGAAGGATAGGAACAAGTTTGAACATGGCGGCGTTAATCTGGACGGTGCGTACAGGTGCAAATTGAGCCAGAAAGCTAGGGAGAAAGGACCCTCGCTTATAGATATCCATAGAGGCGACCTTCGATCACATCACGGTGATTGGCATCTGTCAGAACGTACACGTGGAACGGATTGCGCATGTCAAAAGAGTGTCATTATCTATTAGCATTAGTTGCGTAGCACGTCAAGTCGTAAATCCCGATTGGGCCTTCCTCCATCTCTTCTCTTCTCATCCAACCATTACGGAACAGATTCCTCCATCACAATCTTCCCCTCTAGACAAACACCCTCGTCACGTTGACCGAGACACAAGTTGGGTTGTCTGGCTTGCCCGCACCCAATCCCCATGCCAGGTTGTTGTACCTGTAGCTGGCATAGTCCGTGTCGCATGCATACCAGCGGTAGAATTCCTGATAGTTGCCTGTGTTGTTCTCGCCGCGAACGTAGCCCTGATACGTAAGTTCGTCCTGGGAGTCGAAAGCCAGCATAGTCGTATCGCTTCCGCTTCCGGGGCTGAGAGTGATGCCTGCAAGGTTGGAAGTTGGGTCGAGGTTGAAAGCCGCTGAAGAGGGAATGTCGAGGGTGGTGGTGTTCAACCACCATGTCAAGATGCCTGGTACGCCGAAGCCGTCCTCCGGTGCTTGAGAGTAGACGGATGTGTTGAATTGGAATTGTGCGCCGTCGAGGGGTTCCGGGCTGTCACCTACGCCAGCATTGCTGAGGCAGAGTGATTCGATGGCTGCACCGACGTGACAGGCGCTTAGCGTGTCATTGACCTTTCCGTCTTCGGATGTGACGACTAGAAAGAATGGTGCAGAGCTGATGTTGTAAAACGGATCCTGTGCGCTCGTAACGGCAGCTGCTGCAAGGGTGAGGGCGATGGATGAGGTTTTCATTTTGGATGATGTCGGTTAATCTCGTAGGTGGTCGATGCAGTGATAAAGTCTGAGGTATGCTAGGCGTTGATCGAGTATGTAGGAGCTGATGAGTGCAGTTTACCAGCAACGGCACGGTCGAGCTTTATACTCACGATCATCCCTCGTAGTCGCCGTATTCGCGCAGCCTCATCGCAGCTCCCTCCAAAGGTTCCACCTGCGCAGCAGTCATGTGTTCCACCATAACGGGCCCCAGCCAGCCCATGACGTTCCGCTACCCGTTAGCTTTGGCCGCCTTGCCACACCCACGATGATCCCTTCCAGTCGGCTGCATTCGCTCCGTATGCAGTACCGCACGGCATGCCCGATGAGGGTCAGCGCTCCTCAATCAGGGCAGTTATAGATCAACCCCGCGCGTTAGCGAGCGAAGCTTTCCCCAGCCTGCCGGATAAGTCTTGCATAAGTGCCACAAGTGCCACAGCCGCACAGGGCCTCAGGGTGCATGTAGCGTGAGGATCAGCTGTCAATACGAGGGTCGAATCGATAGCTCAGTACCGAATGTGCAGGTGAAAAAAGTAAAGGTGCGGCGAAAAAGCTGTGTTCGTGAGCGTGAGCAATTTGAGAGGCATCATAAGCACTGCTTTGGAAGGCTGATTAAGCCTAGTACGAGGTCGTATATGACCTTGCTCGTGATGTGCTGATGCATTCAATATTGTGTTAATTGTGCACCCTCGTACGATGAAGATGATGGTGGAGAGTAGAATGTTGCTCTCCGTCAATGACGCAAGGGTTCAGGCCGGTTGTAAGCCGGAGTTACCCTGTTAGCGTCAAAGCTTATCGATTCTAAACTCGCCGGAGGTGTGACATCGTCTACGGCTTCAGATTTACACCCTCACACCAACTACGAGATGAATGGCTGTGATCGGGATACTGCCTTTGCGATGGTCGCCTTGATTCACTACGCGTCCACCAGCACCTTCCGGATACGAACTGACCGGTCGCAACACCTAATAATATACAGAGCGCCGGACGCGTAGAATACTAAGAACAGAGCTACGAAGCCATTCTCGAGCCACCGTTGCAACTCTATACTCCTAGGGTGAGGTAAGAGCTTACGGTTACATACTACAAACTGTATGTATGCTTGAGGACCTTATTCCATCGACATCAGAGCGTTGACTGACGACAGGCGCAGTATCGCAATAACCCTTTCGATCAACCATGATGCAACCACTGGACACCCACTCCTCGTATACGCGCAACACGTAGCTTCGTCATATAACCAACTCCGGCAGCCGATAAGCCACCACACTAGCGATGTCTTGCTCCGCCATCATATCCACTGGCACCCAGCGCAGTGGCCGGCTCGTCGTCAGCATGTGCGCTCCTCCTCTCGGCCGAGTCCCGCGATACACCCTCATAAGCAGGTTTTGGTTGCGTCCAGTACCAACAGGCCCATGTGATCCAGCAGAAGATCACATCGAATCCCACGCTGCTCACTGCTGGGTGTTCTAGCAGAGCACTTTGGATTCCCACAAAACCACCATAGGCATACGCTGTTGCGGTAGTCCATGCCAGCATCAGTCCGGCATTCCCGAGGACCAGTGCCCACATGTAGCTGTAGACCTTGTCGGTGAATTGAATATCCTCGATGAAGAACGAGGCCGGTACAACAGCGCGTGCAACCGGCAAGAGCATCAAAGCGATGTGTGGAGCCATGAGCACCGGCATGAAGTGTGTAGGGTGATGCCAGTAGTGTTCATCTGCTAGTTGCATCGCGGGATAAGCAGTTGCGAAGATGGCGAAAAGGTTTAGGAGCCATGGACCTAGCCACGCTTGCCGGCGTGAACCATATGACGATGGAGCTGGTGCCGGCGGGCTTAACAGTAAGGTGAGCATGAAGAGGTTTGTAGCAAAACTGATGGCCACAATCTGGCCAAGCAGCATGAATGCCCATGTATATCGAATGCCGCGACGTATTCCTAGATCTGTTAGTCCTGTTTATCAAATAACACAATCACTTTATACCTTTCTGCTCCAGATACAATCCTAGGCCCAATGCGAAGAAGAAGATCTGGTGTGACCACCAGTACCGCGCATATCCGATGATGACAGTCTCCCATGCCTCTCGAAACAACGAAGTCTCTTTCAACCACAACCCCCAGTGATTCTGGTCAGGTTCAAGCTCGTAGTAGCTACGCCACATCAGCCAAGACTGATAGCTGACCTTGAAGTACTGGAACATGTGCGTCCATGTTGTGAGCAAGCTGCCCGCAGCAAGTGCACTGAAAAGCCAGACATGTCTTCTTGGTGGGAGCTGTGAGGTAGTTGACTTTCGCAGCACGCTAGCTCTTTTGACAAGTCTTAAGATGATGAAGACCGCGACAGAGAAGCATGTCAACAGATAGGAAAAGAAGATGGCATAGGGCCGGGTGTTGGTATCGGACCCTTCTGGGGGCGGTTCGCGATGCATGGAGCGGTGCGGGACAGAGTATCCAGGCGGCCCGAATCCTGGAGGGGCCATCGTGAGACGATTTTCGAGGTTTGTTGGGCAGCCATCACGTACAGTATGCTCTCCAGCCTTTATGGTGCCGTCGGCAGTGACGAAACGTGTCAAGTGCGGATCAAAGGGCTCTTCTGGTTTGCCGGCAATGTGTATTGATTAACGGCTATCTTGGGACTGAGCTCCTAGGATGCGGCCGCGGTCGGTTGTTGCGCCAATGATGGCGTGGCTGACGCAGGGATGGCCACTCTCCGCAACACGTGCCCAGGTGCCTCGGTGCCAAGGCGCCAGTGAGATCGTCATGTTTTCCCAGGTCCGTCGCGGTCTCGTCTTCGAAGATTCTCGTCCCTTGTTTTGCTTCAAGTAGCTCTCTTCCCCTGTGCTAACCTTCGCTGTTGCTCTCTCGCACATTCTCCTACTCTGTCACGACAAACTGCAAACGCCAAACCTCACAACACGGTGATGTCAGGCACACGGACCATTTGAGCTTTGCAAATCCTGATTGGCTGTTGTTTCATCATTTGGACCTCACCGCCACGCCCAAGCTACCAGACGCCCAAGTTGCGTAGCTCCGTCGATATTTTCCAGTCATCTACTGTGGTGTTTGAACATTCATTGAAGCTGTCGCCACGATGACCGACACACCGCAGACCACGGCGGGTGCCAATCCCAAAGAAGCCAGGGTCCTAGAGCAGCATCTAGACCCAAGCTTCGACTTCTCAGAGTTTGACCCAGCGACGCCAGCGGCAGAAGAGGGCGCAGATAACGCCTCCAACTCGGGCGACCGCCAGCTTCCGGAATCATCGTTGCGGTTACAGGGTGGCGACATCCACCGCGACCTGTACAAGATTGCGGCACAAAACAGACGGCAAAAGTTGCACCAACGAGCAGCAACCTTTTCTGATGCAGTCCACTTTGGCCGCAACCCTGCCCCATCAATCTCAGACGTTGACCATGACGAACTACCAGTTCGCGACCAGCTCGCGCCCGGCGGCCTGAGACGCCAATACTTACAACGACAAAGCAAGCGTGTCAGCTACATCTCGGAGCCTGTTACGCGAAACTTCATTTCGTTTCTTGAACTGTATGGCCAATTCGCCGGTGAAGATCTTGATGAAGATTCGTCGGATGCGGAATCTGCTGTTGAAGAGGAAGATGAAGGGCAAGGCGAGCGGAGACCACTTCTCGGACGCCGACAGAGCTCGAAGAGACTGAGGGCTCAGGGCGATGCGGACCAAGTCAAGACCTTCTTTACTCTCCTAAAGGCGTTCATCGGTACCGGAATCATGTTCTTGCCCAAGGCCTTCAAGAACGGTGGAATGCTGTTTTCGTCGATCACCATGATCATGGTTTCTGCCATCACGGCGCTGTGTTTCGAGTTGCTGCTGGCGACAAGAAAGAGGTACGGCGGTGGTGGTTACGGTGACCTGGGTTCTATCGTTGTGGGACCGAGATTCCGTGCCCTCATCCTGGTCTCCATCACGCTCTCGCAAATCGGCTTCGTATGCGCTGGTCTCATTTTCACCGCGGACAACCTTCGATCATTCCTGGATGCCGTCACTCACGCTGAGGAGCCTCTTTCAACCAATGCGCTCATCGGTATCCAGATCGCCGTTCTAATACCCATGTCCTTCATCCGAAACATCTCCAAGCTCGGACCTGCCGCCCTTCTCGCCGATGTCTTCATTCTCATCGGCCTGACGTACATCTACTGGTACGATATCTCATCGATCTCTAGGATGGGCGGTTTCAACCCGTCTATTGAACTCTTCAACCCCCGCGACTTTACTCTGACTATTGGTTCCGCCATCTTTACCTTTGAGGGCATTGGCCTGATCCTTCCCATCCAGTCCAGCATGAAGGAGCCCGAGCACTTCAGCAAGCTCCTCTACATCGTCATGCTCATCATCACCGTCATTTTCACCTCCGTCGGTGTGCTCTGCTACGGAACCTTCGGCGAGAACGTCTCCGTCGAGGTCATCACCAACTTCCCTCAGACCAGCAAGCTCGTCAATGCCGTCCAGTTCCTCTACTCCATGGCCGTTCTCGTCGGTACACCGGTGCAACTCTTCCCCGCTATGCGTAACATTGAGCTCAAGATCTTCGGTCGCGCATCCGGCAAGCAGAGCAACATGACCAAGTGGAAGAAGAACGCCTTCAGGACGTGTCTCGTCATTCTTTGCGGTGCCATCGCTATCCTTGGAGCTAGCGACCTCGACAAGTTCGTCGCGCTCATCGGAAGCTTTGCATGTGTACCTCTGGTGTACATCTACCCTGCCTACCTGCACTACAAGGGTGTCGCCAACCGTCCTTGGGAGAAGTTCGGTGACATCTCCATGATGGTTATCGGTGTCGTTGCCATGGTGTACACTACCAGTATCACACTTGCTAGGTGGTCTGAGACCTAAGAAAAGAAAGAGGGGTGATTGGAAGAGTACAGAAAAGTCCCTTTACAGTACGGTGGAAGCAGCGTCACTATTGCATAATTTGTTTCTCGCACGGCGTTCAGGTTGATGGG